GGGTGGGGGTGGGGTGGGGTTGAGCAGATCAGTAAGAAGATATATTCTTTAGTTCTGAAAGATCAAACTGCAAGATAGAAGCCGCCTCTGTATGAACTGGAGTTTGTGGTGCTGAATTAGTCATTAGCACACTGCTGAGAAGTAAACATATTTTTAAAAGAACCACAACCACCACAGCAGAACTCATCAACCTCTGATTTAGTCTTATAAAATATTAAAAAAACAAAAGAGGGACCAGGACCTTCAGCAACTGTCTTCCAGGCCCCAGCCCTCATTGCCCAGATTCTGCTTGAAAGGAGCAGGTTTTCCTTCTAGGTTCTCCCAACAAGCCCCAGCTCATTCCCAGTTGCCAGCTGCCAGTGCTGCTGGGAGCACTTTCCTCAGTGTCCTTAGGCTGCCTGACTCTCTAAATAGAAAGAGTCACAGAAATAAAAGTGCATGAATTAGTAAGACAGATTTATGATCAAGTTAGATAAATGCATATTTAACCTATAAACCAACACTGAAACAGCGTAATTCCAGAAGTTGCATGCAATAACAAGATTTGTGAGAAATTCTCTACTTCTTATCAGAGGACCAGGGTATATTTACCTCATGATGGCTCTTCCCCTTCAATTCTGAGTAGCTGGGGTCCAGGCTGATCTTCTGTTCTGCTTGTAGATTGCAAGCAAGTGCGGAAGAGGTCGTGGCCACCTGGGCTTTCACAGAGTAGAAAAGGAAAATGAAGTTGATGCAATGCTATTAGGGTTCCTGTTGAGAAATTGAAACAGTGTAAGAGCTGAGCTCACTCTCTGCAGGTTCTCAAAATGTGTTTGGAAGTTTGTAAAAAGGCACTACAGATGCTTTCCAGATCCTAGGCCCTACTTCCCAGAGATTATAATGCAATCTGGGGGTGGGCTTGTGCTCAGACACCTGCATTTTCACAAGCATCCTGGAATTTTTATTGCAGGAGTCCCGGTACCACATTTTGAGAGATGTTTGAAAAAAATCGTTTCTCATTTACTTGTGGGAGTTAATGTAGTGTACCAAACAGTGAGTCTGATGATCTAGAAGGAAAGTAATTTAAGGGCATCTGAATTTTGGGTATCTCTTTGACCAGCTCTGGGACATTTCTCGAATCACATCATTTAGTCTCATTTTCTTACTTTTAAAATGGCCTAGAATGAATTGCCTTTTCTCTTCCATCCAAATTACAGAAAACTACACTGTGAGGAGATCCACTTTTACCCTCATCTAAGGTGTGGCCCTAAGGAGTGGGTTGCCATCAAAGTGGTCCTCACTCTCCAAATAGGGACCCTGAGGGCCTAGTTCTTCCAGTCCCTGCCCTTTCTCTCTAACATGAGCATAATTAAAAGCATTAAGACATTTCACCCTTTTGGCCATTGTGCGTGGAGCCAGAGGATGCTTAGAACTAGATCTCAGGACCTCATTAATGATCCTGCTCTGATACCTACTCTCTATGAGACCTCTTGGGCAAGTAATTTGCCCTCTGAGCCCCCTTTTACTCACCTAGAAAATGAGGCAAAAAAAGAAAAAAAAAAAGTTCTTTCTTCCTAGGGCTATTGGGAAGATGATAAGAGATAATGCATGTAAAGTGCTTACCAGAGTACACTACCAACATAGAAACTGTTACCACCATGATTACTGGTATATTAGTGTTACAATTTTAAGTGAATCTTGATTGTGTAAAGAGAACAACAGATATCGTCAGTGGGTGGCGAAGAGGAGGGCACCCATCAGCCAGCCGGGCTGGGGCCTGGTGCTTCCTCGGGTTGGTTTCTCACTTTGACAATTTGTAGCACTGCTGGGGAGAAGCAGCCAAACCTGTCAGGGGCCCTACAGCCTCTGGGAACAGGGCATGTTGATGTGGGCTTCAGTCCAGCATACTCCGGGGAGCCGTCCTCAGACTTCCTCAGGTCAGTGACTTCGGACACACTCAAGCACAGGTCACTGCAGAACCTCTTGGGCAGACTGGCTACCAACGCTCTGGGCAGGACCAGATTTCCTAGTCCACCCTCCTGAGGCAGGCACAACTAACATTACTCATGATGAAGAGCCCGATTTATAGAAAAGGGTAACCCGAGGCACTTGGCCGTGAATTCCTCTTCCTTCTAGCCCCAACCCCTAATTTGAGTTTCCAGAGCATTTGAGAAGCCCTTGGGTTTTCCTTTCCTTAAGTGATCACTACCATCCTTCTACCCAGGCAAATCAACCTCTCAATCCCTTCCCATGGTTTGATGGAAAAATCCTCTTTTTCTCTCAGTTCTCTCTCTCCTGAGGCTCTATGTGATGGCAGAACTCCAGCGAGTCAATATGCATTTTTTGAAAATCAAGTTTACTAAGATTATACTTTACATACAATAAAATGCACCAATTTTAAGTGTACAGTTTGATGAGTTTTGACAAATTTATGTACCCATGGAACCACCACCACTATCTCCTTATAGACTATTTGTATCATCTGCAGAGATCACCCTGTATGCCTTCCTAGTCAATTCCAACCACCCTCCACCATTCCAGGCAACCTTTGCTCTGCTTTCCATCACCAGAGATTAGATCAGTATTAGAAAAGAGATTATGCCTTGAAGAGAAATTATTTTCTGCTGCTCACCAGCTCTCATCACAGGAATAAAAATCAACTTTAAGCTTTCAGTTTGTTTTCATATAAGAAATGAAAAAAAAGTTCATCTGTAAGAATCGTTTCTTCCACTTGCCACCTTGAAGTGATGAAATTTTCAAGACAAAATTCCTCTCAATGTGAATTGGATTTGCACTATCAATTTCATCTTTAATAATAACTGTCGAAAAGAAATGCTTCCCTTTGAAATGACAAGAAGCAAGCCTTTCAGTCTTTCAAATTAAAACAACAAAATTCATAAAGAGTAATTCCCTTAGGTCTAACATTGGATCAGCAAACTTTGTGCCTAAGTGGATCTAACCACTCTTGCCAAGCCTCCCTCTTATCCCAGCTCCCAGCGAATCAGCTGTTCCAGTGAACAGTTCTAGAAGTTCCAGAGAAAGCCACAGAAATAAAAAGTGCCCTTCATGATAAAGGCACCTTTAGTCTGTAAGTAACAGGACAAACTCAGGAACTTGTCTGAACCGGAGAAACAGCCTACAATTTGCATTCAAGATCAAAGGTGTTTATACATTCTTATCTGACTGACCTCAAGAGGGCAATCTGTTTTCTCTGCTGGTCTGAACAGATGGGGTCCAAGCTGACTTGCTCTTCAGAAATCTTCCTTAGTCCACCTCAAGTAAACGCCAAAAGAGCTATATAAAGGGGAAATGGGTGTGGAGGGAAAGGCATCAGCGGATGTTTTTTCTCTGTTTCTGAGTGATTGCCTTTTGTAAAAGGAAAACGAAACTGGAAACTGAAACTGATTTTAAATCAAGAGGAGAAAAGAACTCAGGGTTGAGGCAGGCACAACTAACATTACTCATGATGGGAGCCCAATTTATACAAAAAGGTAACCCGAGGCATTTGGCAGCGAATTCCTCTTACTCTTCATTCCTCCCTCAATGCCTAATTTGAGCCTGCGGAGCATTTGAGAGCCCTTGGGTTTTCCTTTCTGTTAGGACTCTTATGACTCAAAGTACATTCTTTAAATTATAACTGAAATTACAGCCAGTTCTCCTTCTGACCATAAATCGAGGGTAGGCCCCAGGAAACTGCATTTTTAATAAAATCTATGGGAGATTCAGACATAAGGGTTTCTGGGTCCACACGATGTGAAAAATTGTTCCAAAAATATTTTGTAAGAAGTAGTTTTGTCCAGTAAATTTATCTGTGGGTGTGGTTCCCAGGCCTGGCGGGTCCCAGGTCTGGCTGTGATCCAGGCTCACGGCTAGGAATAGGACCCCGGATTTAGAAAGTTACATTAGTGTAGTAGGGCACCTGTGCCTAAAATAAGTAAACATAATTCACCTTATTGTATCACGCATGTGTGGCCGAATGCCACTATTGAACCCTGATATATGTGGAGCCATGTGGTCCCCTGGGCAGCAGATGGGGAGCACTGGAAAGGGGAGCAGAAGAGCAGAAACAAAAGCGCACTCCCTGCAATAGAACTGTGCTCCGCACACTAAAGTTGGTGCCTGCCATTTCATTCTCATGTCGGCCTCTAATTTTGATTATTTCTTTTCTTCTACTGACTTTAGGCTTTATTTGTTCTTCCTTTTCTAGTTTTTTAAGATGAAGCATTAGGTTGTTTATTTGGGCTCATTCTTATTTTTGGAGATAGGCCTGTAATGATATGAACTTTCCTCTTATGACTGCTTTTGCTGTGTCCCAAAAGTTTTGATATGTTGTACTATCATTATCATTCGTTTCTATGTATCTCTTAATCTCTCTTTTTATTTCTTCTCTGACTCAGTTATTCTTCAGTAGCATGTTGTTTAATCTCCATGTATTTGTGGTTCTTCCTGATTTCTTTTTGTGGTTGATCTCTAGTTTCAAAACATTATGATCAGAGAATATGGTTGGTATGATCTCAACCCTCTTATATTTGTTGAGGCTATCTCTGTATCCCAGTATGTAATCAATTATTGAGAATGTTCCACGTGCACTAGAGAAGAACGTATAAGCACTATTTTGAGATGGAAGGCTCTGTATATATCAATTATGTCCAGTTGGTCTAATGTGACATTTAAGGATGTTATTTCCTTATTGATTTTCTGTTTGGATGGTCTGTCCATCTCTGACAGTGGGGTATTTAGGTCCCCTACTACGATAGTGTTTTGGTCTGTTTCTCTCTTTAGTTCTGTTAGTAATTGCTTTACATATTTCGGGGCTCCCTGATTGGGAGCATAGATATTAATAAGTGTTATGTCATCTTGGTGCATTTTTCTTTTTATCATTATGAAGTGTCCCTCAGTATCTTTCCTTACCTTTTTTATTTTGAAGTCTATTTTGTCTATATTAGTACCTCTACTCTTGCTTTTCTCAGAATGCCATTTGCTTGAAATATCATTTTCCACCCTTTCACTTTGAGTCTATATTTGTCTTTGGGGCTGAGATGTGTCTCCTGGAAGCAACATATAGTTGGGTTTGTTTTTTGATCCATTCTGCAACTCTGAGCCTTTTTATTGGTGATTTCAGTCCATTTACATTTAGGGTGATTATTGAAATATGAGGTCTTCTTATAGCTATTTTATCTTTTTCTTTTTGGTAGCTTGGTGTTTCCATTGCTTCCTTGTCCTTGTGTTTCTGTTTTCTTTATTTTGGTTGGCTTTTGTCGGTTTTCTCTCCGGCTCTTCTCGTTTTATGTTATATCCTTCAGTTCTGAATCTTCTGTGTGTGGTTACCATTACGAATATGTAAAGGATAATTAGGTATATACAGTCGTCCATTTTATTCTGTGCGCCTTATCTCCATTCCCCTTTGCAAATTTGAATCTTTGAATCCTTCCCTTTTCAGTCACTGTTATCTCAATTTGTTCCTATGTATGTGGAACGTTCATTACTATCTTGTTATAACAATTCTCTTCTTATTATTTAAGCTTATAATGCCTTGTTCTTAGTAAGGGTTGCATTCCTCTGCTTCTATTTGCCTGATAGTTATTTTACTCCTAATTATTTATTTTTTTTGGTCTTTTTGTTTTAGGTGAGCTGACCCCTTTCAGTATTTCCTGTAGTGCAGGCCTCATTGTGAAGAATTCCCTCAATTTTTGTATGTCCGGAAAGGTCTTCTCCTTCATATCTAAAGGAAAGCTTAGCTGGATACATTATTCTAGGCTGGTAGTTCCTTTCACTTAATAGCTTAAATATTCGATTCCATTCTTTTCTGGCTTGTAAGGTTTGCGCTGAGAAGTCCAAGGATAATCTAATGGGTTTAACTTTATAATTTATCATTTTTTTCTCCCTGGCTACCTTGAGAATTCTGTCTTTGTCATTGATTTTTGATAATTTTAATACAATTTGTGTTGGTGAAGGCCTTTTTGGGTTGAGATAATTGGGTGTTCTATTGACTTCTTGAATTCCGAATTCCAGCTCATTCCTTAGATTTGGGATATTCTCATCCACTATTTGTATGAAAATGCTTTCTAGTCCCTGCTCCTTTTCCTCACCTTTGATGCCCATTATTCTTATGTTTCCTCTCCTGATGGTATCAGCTAGTTCTTGAATTTCTTTTTCATTATTTTTCATTCTTCGGTTTCTCTCTTCTTCCTTCTAATTTATTTCTAGATTTCTGTCTTTGACATCACTGATTCTTTCCTCCATTTGTTTGACTCTATTTCCCAATCTTGCTATTTCAGTTTTCATCTCTTGCAGTGTGTTCTTGATCTCCAGAACACCTGTTCTGTTCTTTTTGAGGGTTTCGATCTCCTTGCTAAAGAACTCATTCTGCTCATCTAGTTATTTTTTCAATTCCTGAAATTGATGATAGGTATTGTTTTGGACCTCATTGAGTTATTTCAGAAGTACCATCCTGAATTCTCTGTCATTTAAGTCACATATTTCTATGTCTTTAAGCTTAGTTTCTGGAGATTTTTCTTTTTCATGCTGATCTGCCTTGCCACCTTGGTTGTTCATGGTGTTTAACGGACTATTTCTCCACCTGGGCATTAATGGAAGTGTATTCTGCTTTCCCCCACCCTCCTCCCCCCCCCCCCCCCCCCCTCCACGTTTGGTCTCAGAGGGTATGGGGGGAGGGGCCCTCTGGGTTGAAGGATGAAAACTGCAGCTCAACCTCGGTTTTGCAACTGGGGCAGTAAAAATCAACTGTTATTTCTCTGTGGTCCCACCTGCTTCTCTGCTTTGAGCCCTGATGACTGGGCTCTGCCGCCAGTGCATGGAACTCACAGCACTTCCAGGCAGGGCTGTTCAGGGGAGTCGCCGCACCTTCCCCTGCCCCCACTCTTGCAGGGAGTTTTGGGGTGGGGGCTGAGAGAGGCAGCTTCTTTATTTCTCCCAATCCACAGCCCGACACCTGGGGTTCTGACCTATGGTAGTTCTTATGAGCAGATCCCACGCTCAGATGTGATAGTGTGCAGTATGGGTGTTTTGGGTTCAGTTTTAGATGTTTCAAGGGGAGAGATCTGAGGACATCTCTCACTCCACCATGTTTCCTAGAATCCTCCTTTTTTTCATTTTTAAAACATTTCTAAAAGAGATCAGAATGAAGCTCCCCAAAATATGCCACTTTGATATATGGACTATTTTAAGCTGAAGGCAATTGAGACTCACGAACTCAAGAAAAACTTTACCTCTCTCTTAACTACCTGAAAGAAGTTAGGCACACAACAGTGCAAACTTAGAGGTTAAAAATAGAAGAATGAAAATGAAAGAAAAGCTTGCTCTCTTTATATGTACTTGTAATAAGAGTTTTTTTAAGTTATATTAAAATATAATTTACACATGATAAAATTCACCCATTTAAATGATATAATTCAATAGTTTTAATGTAGGACAAGGCAAATTTTCCCGAGTTGGGGGAAGCTCAAGCTCTGCACCAAGAGAGAAAGGGCTCTTGATTGCGCACAGGAAAGAATTCAAGAATTCAAGAATTCAAGGCCAGAGTTAGGGGCAAAAAGAAAGTTTATTAGAGAAGAGGTATTGCTCCATAGACAGAGTGTGATCTCTTCTCAGAAACAAAGAATGAGAGAGCTGAGAGGGACAGAGAGGGAATCATGAGAAGGACAGAGGAAAGACCATGAGAGGAACCTCAGTGCTTGGGGAATTCAATTTACATATCATTCTTAGTCTCTATGAGTTCCAGTTTAAAAACTTTGTTTATCTATTTTCCTTTGATAGTATAGGTATACAGTGTGAAAGATAAGAATATGTAATGTGAAAGGCCTTTTGGCAATTCCCAATCTTTGATCTATAGGTTGCTTGTGGTTTTAGCCTTAGGGAATGAATAATTGTGTGTGTGTGTGTGTGTGTGTGTGT